TACTAAACACTTAAATAAAATTACGTAATTATATTATATTAGACTTTATTATTATCTTTATCTTAAAGCTAAAATAAACCCCTTTAGATTTAAATATAAAGACCTATAATATTAAAGCTAATAGTTAATTAATTAATTACTTATTATTATATTAGTTAAATTATTATATAAATAGCTTTTTATTTAACGTAAATAAAAACGTTTAAATCTAGTTATAAACTCCTTAAATATACTATAAATCCTTAAATAATAGCGTAAGTTTTAAAGCTAATACTTATAAAGTAAAGAATATTTTCAATACACTTGTATTTACTATATTTGTAAGAGCTCTGGTTACAGGAATTAAAAAGTAACTAGATCGTAATACCACGTATAGAGTTATAGGTGTGTGTGTGTGTGTCGCGTTTAGGCTAATAAAATACTTAGGTAAAACTACGAAACCACGTTCTATTAGACTTTATTATCGTCCTTATTTTAGAACTAAAATAAGCCCCTTTAAACTTAAATATAAAAACCTATAGTATTAAAGCTAATAGTTAGTTAATTAGCTACTTATTACTATATTAGCTAAATTATTATATAAATAGCTTCTTACTTAACGTAAATAAGAACGTTTAAATCTAATTATAAACTTCTTAAATATACTATAAATCTTTAAATAATAGCGTAAGTCTTAAAGTTAATACTTATAAAGTAAAGAATATTTTCTAATAAATAAAAACTCTTATAAATAAGTTAAAGCTTATAGCTAAAAGACTATTATTAAGTAAAATAATATTCTTAGAAAACTTTAATAATACTATAAAGAGACCTATATATATATAAACTTATTACTTAATAATAAGTTCTATTATAATTATTTATAGTTTAATTATTATAAGGCTTAATACCTTATAAATATAATTTACTATAAATGTAAGAATAAATAAAAGAATAAACGTTATATTAAATATTCCGCTAGAAATTACTAAAACCTATATACGTATAAATACTCTATTAATAACGTTAATATTAACTTTACTTTTAATAACGTTACTTATAATCCCTTTTTTTTAATAAAAGATATTAATATAATAAAGCTTTTACTTAATAAGAAATAAAAAGCTTAAAGAAAGCACGCGCCTCTATTAATAAGTAAATAAGCTTATTAAGTTAAATAGCTACTTTAAGTAATTAGCTTTACTATTAATAAACTAAAAAAGGTACCTTACTTAAATAACGTTAAACTAATAATCTTTACTACTATTAATACTATAATAGCTAGCTATAAGAATAAAGCTACTAGTAGAGATACTTAGGGTAATACTAATACTACTAGTATAAATAGTATAATAGCTATTAATAGAGATACTTAGAGTAATATTAACACTACTAGTATAAATAGTATAGTAGCTACTAATCAGACCTCTAAATGTATTGTATTTTTTGTATTTTTTACTATACTATATTATATTGTATTGTAATGTAATATATTACAATACATTATAAGATTAGAATACCTATAAATGTATTATAAGGCTATAAAATATTTAATATCATAAATAAATGCTTATATAAGCATATTATATATTAAAATAAAGCTAAAAATCACGTGATTTTAAATCTTTAAAAATTAACCTTAAAATGTGGATATTAAGCGAGATATTAAGCTTTAAAGTTATGTCTTAAAATAAAAAGTAAGTAAAGCGGGGCGAATTTTCAATTGCTTATAACTTTTTAATGTGGTAACTTATAGTAGGAAAAAGTGGGGCATTTTAAAGAGCTAATTTAGCTCTTTTTAATGATATAAAATTTTCCCTTATAACCCTTATAATTAGCCTTATAAGTTTAAGTTAAAAAAACAAGGGTCTTTTTTCCTTAATACTATTAACTCTAATAGTAATATTTAAGATAATAATACTAACTTAATAACCGCTAATAGTAATACTTAAGGTAAAATAATTAATAATAATAATAATATAACCACGTTAAAAAATAACGCTTAGGCTAAGAATACTATTAATATAAGTGTATTTATTAAGTGTATATAATAAGAAAGAGAATTAAAGAATAAAAATAAAGGAAAATAAATAGAAATAAAGAAATTATATAAAAGGGGGAAACTTATTATACTTTTTATTATTAAAGTAAATTTCTTTTTTTTTCTTTATTATTATAATAATAAGACTATTATCTTTTTTTAAATAAGAGAATATTAAGGCTTATATAATTACGTGTAAGGTATTATTAGTATAAGGCTTACATAGTTACGTGTAAGGTACTATATTACTATTATTACGCTAGCACTCTTAAGCTAGCTCTTTTCCTTTAATATATAATTAACTTCTTCACTTCTTTTAGCTCTCTTATAATATAACTTATTAGTTGCATTACAAGCTCTTGTAACCTCGCTATAGCTCCCTTCCGTGAGCCCTCACAAGGGAGCTACTGGCGTTCGATGGGGAGGATTTAGTTAACTGGTACGCCAGCCTTATCGTAATTTCTCTAACAGGACTAACCAGAACGACAGATTATACCTCCGAATTCCTCCTCGCTAGATCATCCGAATCAGCGGGCTCGGACGATAGATGAGGACGATATAGGAATGGTCAAGTTTAAAGGAAGGGACGATAGAGCATATCAGAGTGTGAGAGGGGATATCGAAGAGCTGGTTGAAAATAGTCAAGGGGCAACAGGGACGAGAGGCGCATCAATTAGTTAGTGTAGCAATATATCTACGCGGCAAGACACTGCTAATACTCCGGCAGATATTGCTCAGGAAGACCGGGAATGCATCCAACACTTACGCGTCACCGATCCACGGGACGACAAGAAGCGCATCGAGAAAACTAAGGGCGGTCTACTGGAGAACTTGTACCGCTAGATCCTCGATAACACCGCCTTTCAACGATAGCGTAACGACCGGCAGAGCCAAGTGCTCTGGATCAAGGGCGGCCCTAGCAAGGGAAAGACGATGCTGCTCTGTGGTATCATTCACGAATCACAGAAGCAGGCCGCGAACCAAGTGGTCTACTTCTTCTGCCAGGGCACAGACTCTCGACTGAACAACGCCACGGCCGTGTTGAGGGGTCTACTCTACGTATTGGTGGATCAGCAGTCAGCGCTCGTCTCCCACGTACGGAAGAAGTATGACAACACAGGAAAGCAACCCTTCGAGGATCTAAATGCTTGGGATGCACTATCCAAGATATTTAAAAACATGCTGCGGGACCCAAGCCTAAAGAGCACGTACTTTATCATCAATGCACTCGACGAATGCAAAACAGACTTACCGCAACTCCTCGACCTGATCGTCCAAACCTCCTCTAAATCTTGTGCCAAGTGGATTGTGGCCAGCCGTGACCAAATCAGCATAGAGCGGGGCCTGCGGCTTGATGAGTCGCGGACGAGGCTCAGTCTAGAGCTGAAAGAAAATGCAAAGCAAGTATCTCATGCCGTCGCCGAGTATATCCGCCACTGCGTTTCCGAGTTGATAGAAATACAGAACGATAAACGCCTCCAAGAACAAGTCCTAGATAAAATACAAAAGAAGGCCAATGGCACGTTTCTTTGGGTATCTCTCGTTATTAAAGAGCTCAAAGACGAAAATACCATGAGTTGGGACTTCCTAAAGGTCATTGATGAAATGCCCACAGATTTAAACGACCTGTATGGTCGAATGCTAGAAAATTAATCTTATAATTATTAAGTTAATAGCTATAAAAGTAAATTAAATAGTAGAATTATCCTTAATTAAAGCTATTTAAGTACGAAAAACAGGCCCTTATTTATAGATATTAAGGTCGTTTAATAGGTTACCTAAAAAGTAATTAATTTACGGGGTTTTACGATATTTAGCTATTAAAGGTTTAGCTTTAAATTTTTACTATAATTAAACTAGTATTACTTAGGCTCTTAATTAGCTTATTAATAATTAGCGTTTTAACTGTAAAGAATATATTATATAAATAGCTTATCTTAAAAGAGTAATTAAATTTATTAGCCTATCCCTTACTAGCTATAATTAGCGTTTTATTTACGCTTTTAATATTATCTTATTAAGATTTTCTTTTATTCTCTTTAATCTTATTACTTATTATTAGCCTCTTAAATTATCTCTTAATAATTTTAATAAGCTTATTTTAATTAAGAATCTTTCTCTTATTAGTTCTATTATACTTCTAGCTACCCTTATTTCCCGCCTTATTACACCTTTATCTCTTATAATTAGGTAGCTAATTACCCTTACTTCTCGCTTAAATATACTCTTACCTTTTATAATTAAGTAATTAATTACGCTTATCTTAAAACTATAACGTTTCTTTAAGGGAAAGGAGTTTAATATTAATTAAAACTAGTATTCTAATAATTCTTTATTAGTAAATAAAGGTAAGAATAAGCGTAAGGAAAAGGCTTAGAATTATTCTTAAAATACCTTTAATTAATAAGCGTATTCTAGAGATTTAAATACTCTTAAATAACGCGTATATTATTACCTATATTATATATACCTAAGATAATATTAATACTCTTAAAGTTATATTTCTTAAATTAAAAGAAGTTTAATTAAAATTAAAGATAAAACGCTTTATTATACTTAACTTTATTAAGACTAATATAACCCTTATAATTATTAATTAATAGAATAAAAAAGCTAATAAGCTTCTTAATATTAAGTATATATACTACTATTATAAGAGTATCGTTTATTTTTAGTATATTATTCCCTTTAAGACTTATTTATTTATTAAGAATTATTATATAAGTATATTATATCTTTATTTTCTAGTATATAAATAAAATAATAACTTAATAATTACCTTTAGGTTCTTACTTAATTATAGCTATATTACGTACGTTAAAGAATAAGGTAAAGTTTTCTTATTAAGATATTACTTTATTAGCTTAATATAACTTTATTAAGACCTTTATAAATAGTTATATTATTAAGTTTACTTTTAATAATAATCTCTTTTACGCTCTTTTTACTATAAAAATTAATATTAAATATTAACTATTACTTATAATTTCTAATTATTTTATAGCTAGTAAACTACTTAATATTATTAAGGCTTAAGCTAATAATAACTTTAATTATACGTTAATTAATTTTAAACGTATTAATAATAATAACTTCTTTATTAATTAAATAGGCGTAGCTATTTATAAATAAAGTATAAAGAGAAACTATTATATTTACCTAAAATACGTTATAATAAATAATTTAATCTTTCTTATACTTATACTAGGCTTAAAGAAGTATATAGTTTAGATTTACTTATTAAATTACTCTAGTATTTAGCCTTATAATACATTTATAGGTATTCTAATCTTGTAATGTATTGTAATATATTACATTACAATACAATACAATACAGTATAGTAAAAAATACAAAAAATACAATACATTTAGAGGTCTGCTCTTATAGTCTTATTAATGCCTTTTATTTTCAGGTTTTCCTGCTACTTTTAATTAATTTAATTAGAAGCTTATTAACGGGCTCAATTAACTTTTACCTTAATAGACGGGTCTAATAGCTTCTATTAAATTTAAGCTTTAATTTTAGCGTTAAGCTTTTATATTAGATCTCTAAGAGGCTCGTTTAGGTACAGATACTTACGATAATAGTATTTCTAACTATAGAGGCACTTTAAAGCCGTCTTTAACCTTTTATTTCTAGGTTAGCTAGGTGCCTGTAATGCATTTAGAGTCTTTAATAATAATAGGCTTCCTTAAAAGGTAAAGAATAAAAAACCGCTCTTACCTTTCGTAGCCTTTTAATGCTAGTAATGCTATTTATACAGATTACTAATCTAAAAGCCGTCTAAGATCTTATCTATTTAACTATCTATTTAACCTTTCTTATTAAGGTTTAAGAGGTTTAAGATATAATTATTCTAGTAGCTTAAAAATATAGAGCTAATTAAAGCTATTATAGCTATAAAATCTAGGGTTAATTAAAGCCCTTTCGTATTAAGTAGGTTAATTTAACGAGCTTTTACTAGTACGTTCTATTAGCTTATAATTTAAGCCTTAATTTTTATACGATTAGCGCCCTTTAATACTAATTTATATTTTAATAAAACCTCTCTTTTATATTTCTATAATATAAGTTATAGCTAAGCTTATAGTAGCTTTAATTACCTAAAAACGCTATCTTTAATAGCTATTATATTTAAGCTATTATAACTTCTTTAATTAAATTTAATAAATTTAGCCTTAATAAAAGGTTTTTTTATTAAAGGTTATATCTTTAACTCGTTTAACTTTTAATTTTAATGGAATTTATATATAAAAGATAGTAATAGAGTTATATTTAATAAAATAACCGATTTTTACGTAGGCTATTATTTTAAAAGCTTATTTTTAAATATCTTAAAGGGCTTTTTAGGTTATTAAATAGGCCCTATAATTATACGCAATTAAATACGTAATATTAGGCCTATCTTAATAACCTATATCGCGATTATTTAATTAAAGCTACTATTAAAGCTATTAAAAGGGCGTCTTTTAGTTTATACCTTATTATAGTAATACATTATAAAGGTAAGTAATAGCTTTCTAGATCTTAGGCTATAATCTAATAGAAAGGTTAACTATTAGCTATATTATACGCGAATTTTTACTATAATTAAACTAGTATTACTTAAGCTTTTAACTAGCTTATTAATAATTAACGTTTTAATTATAAAGAACGTGTTACGTAAATAGCTTATCTTAAAAGGGTAATTAAATTTATTAATTTATCTCTTACTAGTTATAACTAGCGTTTTATTTACGCTTTTAATATTACTTTATTAGGATTTTCTTTTATTCTTTTTAATTTTACTACTTATTATTAGCCTCTAAAATAATCTCTTAATAATTCTAATAAGCTTATTTTAATTAAGAATATTTCTCTTATTAATTTTACTATACCTTTAATTACTCTTATTTCCCGCTTTATTACACCTTTACCTTTTATAACTTAATAGCTAGCTACTTTTACTTCTTACTTAAATATACTCTTACCTTTTATAATTAAATAACTAATTACGCTTATCTTAAAACTATAACTTTAATAGGCTTAAATATTAACCTAATAGTTATTTATAAGGAATTTAAGCCTTTTAAATTAAACCTTATTAAGGTTTATAATTATTATAGCCTTAAGGTTAATATTACTAGGTTAAGGTTTTTTAAAGAGATAATAGCTATCTTATTAGGCTATTAAGGGTTAATTAAATGCTAAATACTTTAATTAATAGTATATTTCTTAACGATAAAAATCTATTAAAAGTAGCTTTTTAAACCTATTAAAATTACTAATAAAGAACCTTTAATATTTATAGCTAGGTTAATTAAGTCTTTTATTAAAGACCTTAAATATATTATAATTTAACGTTAAAATATCTTAAATTTAATAGTAAACTAGGCTTATAATTATTACGTTAATAGCTATAAAAGTAGATTAAATAGTAAAATTATCCTTAAAATTAAAGCTATTTATTTTTCTCTTATAAAACTAGCTCTTATACTTATAGTATATTATTCTATTAAGGTTTCTTATCGCGTATTAATAGTATTAATATTAGCGGTTTTACTTCTATTAATACTACTTTAAGCCCTTAATTTAGTTTTAATTCGTATACCACTTATTAAAGGTTTACTTACCTATTAAGTATACTAATCTTATTAACTTATTTTATCTTAAGCTCTTCTTTATTCGCTTAGTTTAAGGTTAAGGACTTTAATAGTTCCCTCTTAACGTTACTCTTATTTACTTTAATAGAAGTCTTTATTACTTCTTACTAGTAGCTTACTTTATTCTATCTCTTAGCTAATAAGAATTACTTTCTATTAATACTATTAGTTTATTATAATTTAAACGCTACTTTATGTAAGCGTTTTATATTTAAACTAGCTACGTATTATCTCTTTTAATTACGTTAATTACCTGCTAAATAAGGTGGTTTTTTTTTCTTTATTTCCTTTAATTAATATTTATAAAGCTTATAATTTAAGCCTTAATTTTTATATAATTAGCGCTCTTTAATATTAATTTATATTTTAATAGAATCTCTCTTTTATATCTCTATAATATAAGTTATAGCTAGGCTTATAGTAGCTTTAATTACTTTAAAACGTTATTTTTAATAGCTATTATATTATAATAACTATTAATAGTCTTTATAATAAATTATTAAGTAATTAAAAGAGCTTTTTACTGCCTTTAATAGG